CCTTGCTGCCTAATATATCCCACCCCTGGACAGGTGCCATTGTAATGATATAATCAATGTTATTCACTTCCCTTGTCAGTGGTTTCAGTGTTCTGGCTGATCAGTTTCAACGTTGTGGCTGATCAGTTACATAACAAAATCTATACATTTCATTTGCTGCACATTTTGGAAACTAAAGCTGAACACCCAAGTTACTAAATATAAGCTACACCTTAATATTGCACATAATAACAATAAACAATGGACAGGTCTGCTAATCTAATGAATTAAACCATAACCTGCCTAACTTCTTCAGACCCTGATTTCACTGTTATGTTCCACCTACAAGAAGACCTAGAGAAAATAATTTGAGCATATGAATAAGGGTTTTGGTATAAGAGTACGAGTGGCTATTTGTATTGGGCAGTGTATATTTGGTTATGGTGTGTATGGTATATTGTGTATGAATGTGAAATTGGTGTGAAAGTATAATATGGCAGTATGTATGTGTATGTGTATGTTTAAATGTGTAATAGTGGTGAAAACGGTCTCACTCCCTATCTGGAGAGAATCCGTGCATGTGCAGCAATTCAATTGGTGAATGCGCCAAACAAATGCAGTGATTATCAAATAGGGGGCTACACTATTATTTCCCTATGGAAGTGCTCACAGAGAGTAAGGAAGCCCAACTGGGGGGAGAGTGATCAGCCACGAAGGCTGTAGGTTTATTCACTAAACACCAAATTGCAGTGATTCAAAAACAAAACTGCTAAATTTAGGCTACAATAATTGATTAAGAAAATGTCTTCAACTCAGTTGTAGTCACAAGTTTAACCTGAATTTTACAATTCAGTTTTCAATTCACTGCGATTTGGAGTTTAGTGAACTGATAGAATGGAATTGAACTGAGAAAGGTGTGCAAAAATGGATTGTATACTGTTTCTTAATATGCCACCCCATATTGCTTACCCGTTGTCAGGAGTGGAGCAAATGAAAGGAAAAAAAGGAGAAAAGTGTAGGGAGAATTAAAGGGACACTCCAATACCTAAATACAAAATAAATAAAAATGACTGTTTAGTAGCTATACACCAAATGAAAACGTACATGCATTTATTTTTCATTCGCGTATATCTAAAAGAAATTTGTAAAACCTGGAATTCTCTTGTCTGCTGTCGTTACAAACCCTTCTCTTCTAACCCCGCCTATACTTTCTGTGCGGTCCAATAATAGAATACCCAATGCAGCTCAATGAGAAGTCTTTGCTAGGGAGGCAATTGCTCCCGCTAGCAAAAAAAGAGAAGGAATCTGTCCCAAATAAATAATAAGAAAAAAATAAAATGAAATGAAATCAATGAAATTCTTTATTATTAAACTAAAAAAACACACGCACATGTGTCACACATACCGCACCTATGTCATATAGTGTGGTGGTGTGCTATTGATGGACTAAATAAATGTGAGTGAGGGTAATATACAATTGAAGGGGGGGTGAAAACAGATAAACTGACGGACAAAATCTGGGTAGAGACAAAAACTCCAGGGTTTAGAAATGCACCCCAGAGGGATAACTGCTGGAAGCCCTGTGTACATAAACAGAAAATACACAGTAGCAAAATAAATTAAACCCAGTGGAATACAAATTTGACAATATACGAAGTATGTGTCAAAAAGGCTGATACAGAACAAATGTATCTAACTAGTGTTGCCAGAGTCTCAACTAAGATTCTGCTGGGCAATAGATGCAGTGTGTGCGAAGTTAACAGAACACTGCATTCTAATAGTCCTGAAGTACGGTTGAAAAATGTCAGATGCAGCTATCTGGATCAACTACCCAGATTGATTAAAACACCAGACTAAAAGTTGTAGGCAGCAGGGAACAATGTAACCGTGTCTCAAAGGAATATACCTCCTAGAAATATAAATAAACAAACAAAATATATTGCCTTGCAATAAGAGAAATATATATAGGTGGATTGGCGCTATTAGTGAGGTGAAAAGCAGCAACTACCCCCAAGTGCCAAAAAATCACCAAAGGCACTATACAAGTACATAAAAGTGATAAACAGAAAAGAAGGGGGGTGCTCAAAGATGATAGTATACTTATATCAGTACATAAATACATCAATCAGTATATCACTGGATCAATCTGGAAAAAATAAACAGAATGTACATAGCATAATACTGTAAGGAAAGATTATACACTACTAATGCAGAGGTAATGGGTCACTCACGATATTTTGAGCCTTAGAAAGCAGCGATTTGGAGTCACACTCAAAATTAAAGTGGAAAAACACACTTCAGGCTGATCCAACTTTGATGTAATGTCCTTAAAACAAGTCAAAATGAGGCTCAGTTGTGCATGTGGCCTCCACATGACTGTATGACCTCCCTACAATGCCTGTGCATGCTCCTGATGAGGTGGCGGATGGTCTCCTGAGGGATCTCCTCCCAGACCTGGACTAAAGCATCTGCCAACTCCTGAACAGTCTGTGGTGCAACGTGACGTTGGTGGATGGAGCGAGACATGATGTCCCAGATGTGATCAATTGGATTCAGGTCTGGGGAATGGGCGGGCCAGTCCATGGCATCAATGCCTTCATCTTGCAGGAACTGCTGACACACTCCAGCCACATGAGGTCTAGCATTGTCTTGCATTAGGAGGAACCCAGGGCCAACTGCACCAGCATATGGTCTCATAAGGGGTCTGAGGATCTCATTTCGGTACCTAATGGCAGTCAGGCTACCTCTGGCGAGCACATGGAGGGCTGTGCGGCCCCCCCAAAGAAATGCCACCCCACACCATTACTGACGCACTGCCAAACTGGTGCTGGAGGATGTTGCAGGCAGCAGAACATTCTCCACGGCGTCTCCAGACTCTGTCACGTCTGTCATATGTGATCAGTGTGAACCTGCTTTCATCTGTGAAGAGCACAGGGTGCCAGTGGCGAATTTGCCAATCTTGGTGTTCTCTGGCAAATGCCAAAACGTCCTGCACGGTGTTGGGTTGTAAGCACAACCCCCACCTGTGGACTTCGGGCACGCATAGGAACTGAGAAGAGGTCTGTGGTCACCACCTGCAGGACCACTCCTTTATTGGGGGTGTCTTGCTAATTTCCTATAATTTCCACCTGTTGTCTATCCCATTTGCACAACAGCATGTGGAATTGATTGTCACTCAGTGTTGCTTCCTAAGCGGACAGTTTGATTTCACAGAAGTGTGATTGACTTGGAGTTACATTGTGTTGTTTAAGGGTTCCCTTTATTTTTTTGAGCAGTGTATATATATATATATATATTTATATATAGTCAACCATGACAGTTGCATTCGGTATTGAGGTAGGTTTGCAATAGATCTCTGAAAGGATTTTAGATTACAGTATATACTCGAGTATAAGTCTAGTTTTTCAGCACATTTTTTGTGCTTTAAAACCCCCACTCGACTTATACTCGAGTCACTGTCTGTATTATGGCAACTTAGAGAGCCGCGGCCGTCAGAGCCATGGCAACGATCCGCGCGGCAACCAGACCGCGAGACTTACAGTGGAGCTGATCGGAACGGAGGAGAAGGGAGCTGACAGGAGCTGCAGGAAAGGTAAGTAAATGCTTCCTGCCGGCCCCCCCACTTCACAGGCCATGCCACTGGACCACCAGGGATTAAGATAGCCCCCCTCCCTGACCAGTTAACAATAATAATAATATTACAATATTACCCAGTTCACACACACTACACAAACACACTCTACATTATATACACACTCTGCATGATATACACAGTATGTGTATATCATGCAGAGTGTGTGTTTGTATGAGTGTGTGTGTGTGTGTATATAATGCAGAGTGTGTGTTTGTATGAGTGTGTGTGTATATAATTATAAAAATCACAGAATTTCATAGCCCCAAGTTTTACCTTCGACTTATCCATGAGGCATAGCATATTTCACAATTGTTGGTCACAAAACTGCACTCGACTTATACATGAGATCGACTTATACACGAGTATATACGGTAAATGAAGTTTTGACTATGTCCATGAGGTTATTCCATAACTATACCTCGTATCCATATCCATATCACAATAGTCCATATCCTCCCAGGTGAGGTAAGGGTAAGCCAGCCTTGGGGCAGCAAGGATGGTAAACCAGTTCTGGCCATGCCATGGTGGGGCATCTCATAAAATAATTAAAAACTAAAACAATTAAAACAATGTAAAAAAAAATTCTGTACACGTCTAACACTAATGCCCTTAAAATAGTAAACAGATGTCAAAAACATTATTAATACACAAGCTAAAGATCTTAACATCTGACTTGGAGTTTGAACTGGGTTTTATAAGTGAAAGTGCATAGATACATGTTGTCAGCATTGATATGCCCTGTGTGTCTCAGGTCCAACATTAAATTAATTAAAAAGCTATTGTAATATTTCAGAAAGAAAGCTCTTCCTTTGTTTGATGGCTCCATAAACAGCTGCCAAGCTTCTGCAGCTCGCTATTCCAGTTCTCAAACAGGGGAACACAATGGAGCCATTATTAGCTTATATAATGGATGCTCACATGTGTTCTCACAGTTAGTAATACAAAATTATTGTTTAACATTGCTATAAGTAGAAGAAATTACTGGGAGACATAGGATTATACAAGTCCCAATCTATTGACGGCCCTTAGTAATTAAAGTGTCTCCCCCCAGCTCCCACCCATTGATGGCAGGTGGTGCCCTGAATAATAATGGAGGTGGACCTATTGTCTCCCAACCCATTGGCAGCGAGTGGGAATAAGTCCCTACTCACACCCA